CCCCCCCCCCCCCCCCCCCTTCTCCCCCACTGCCCGCCTCTCTCCCCGATCCATCCCCTCGCCCCAGACTGACAGAAATAAACGACGACCCTCTGTGTTCAATCACCACAGACCTTGGCAACCACACGTTCTCCATGGAGACGCAGGAGAAACTGTGCAACAGGAAATAGAGGGAGGGCGGTAATCCATAGGACGCTCATCAAAAGGCTACCGTTTTTTGTCCGTGTCTTTGTATTGATTTGCATCTACCACAGTGGCTCCATCACAGCGGAGACGGACCCGGGAGACTCATTAGCCGAGTCCAAATCATCCAACGACAAAGCGCGTGTGTTTCGTTTTATTCCTGAACAAATATTGCTGAGCTTTTGTGCAAACACTCAGGCCTCACAAAAGACAAAAACAACTTTGGTCGCACCGTTTGAATGGTACACGGCGGCATGGGTCAAGGTTAAGAATGGGTAAGAATGACGCCAGTGTAATCCCCAATCTGTAATCCTGTTAATCACGAGACTGCAAACAGTAACAAATGTGCTTATGCCAGCTCTGTTACTGTGAGAGATGCCTTGAAGGGATTAAGAAACTAGACACAATAGAGAGATGAAGGCGAAGGAGTGAACATTGTATGGAGGAGAGGAGGTCGAAATGCGATGCATCTCTACTCCTCGCCTCGTTACAAAATGGTGCTACGAGACCACTGTGCTGGAAGTCTCCATCACACGCAGCAAGAAGCAAAGCTAAAGCTAATTTCTGGATTTGCATCGAGCATCCTACCCTTTCATGCCAGAGATTAAACTTTAAAAAAAAAAAAAGCACAAATTTTCACATTTCTTTTGAAGCACATCTAAAGCAACAAAGAGGCACATGAGAGGGAGAAAGGACTCGCCTTCTTAAAAAGGTTACATTTAAAAAGTCACAGTCGCTGGCCGTTTTTTTTTTCTTCCTTTCCTTAAACCAGCCTTGGCATTCATCAATATAGAATCAATCAATCTGAAATTTGAATTCCATTTTATGCATCCATTGTGGCTGCTGCTGCTGCGATTAAAGGCTTAGGCCATGAAATAGCGTGGAGCGCGGCGCCGTATTTTTACTCTGGCTCGAGCCTCCCACCCCTCAGCCAATCTGAATGCACAAGCAGGCAGCTTCATTCTAGCTGCAAACATTTACACCGACACTTCCCTCTCCCTCTGTCTCATCAATTCATTTCACGCCGCTGCGTGAAGGACAGAGGACTCGGGAGGGAAATGTAGTTTTGCCTT